TTCTGCCCATCTCGGTGGGATCCAGAAGGTTGTTTTCATTGCTTTTTAAGCCTCTGTGCTCCCAGTAGATGGCTGTGCATCAGCCTGACTGCGGGTCATGCACTTTTTGTAGCCTTCTTTTTTGTTGTATTTCTAAGGCAATCAAGGTTCTGGGGAAAAGAAGTGTTTCTTATCTGAAAAATGTACAGCTTGTATTGTATTGCTGCAGTATATGCAGTAAATGCATTAAAACTCATGGACCTTTTGTACACTGGTGTGTTTTCTTAACTAGGAAAAGGAAATAGAAGCAGAATTAGTGCCATCTTCTTTTTTACTTTTAGGCAGGAAATGCATTTCACTGGGTGGCATCACTGTATTCAAATATTTTGACCTTAGTAGCAGTATTTGAGAGCTGTACAAGTAAGGACAGACACATTACATGGCTGGATACTCATTTTGTCACATAGAGGAATAATCCCTTTTCTGTTATGTGATGCGGTCACGTAACTACCACGTCTACGTCTTGCTGAAGGGTCAGTCTTGTCCTTTCAGGCAGACCACCACACCGGCCAAGTTGTGAGGCTGTCTGGGAGGTATCTTACTCCTAAGCAAACCAGGCAGAGATTCAGGTCTGACCGATACGTAGCTCCTGTTCCACATGGTTTAGTGTTCTGATCCAAGCTTTCATTTTTCCCAGTTGATGCGAGACGCTCAAAGAATGACACCAAGTATAATTTATATCCCCCATATTCATTTGTGGTGGGAGGCTGTTGGAGTTGCACTGAAAGCTACTTTTATGACACTACTGCAGAACATTCCGACATTTGCTCCAGTTTTGCTGCTTGCAACATCTGATGTGTGTCACGCAGATCTCCCAAAAGAGGTATTTCTGTCAATACTTTTCTTTTTTATTCAATTTTTTGTTAATGGATAAATCCTTTAAGCATTGGAGTATGGTGCACTCTTAAGCAAATTCATGCTGTTATTACTCAAGCACCCTCCCCAGGTCTCTGAAAATTTCCTTAGACAAAACAGTGCAGAAAGCGTTTGTCTACAGTGTCTTCTGAGTAAAGAGATTGGCTGACCAAACTTTCTCCCCTTCTCACACCATCATGCTTAAGAGACAAATGTCTAAATTGACTTCAGACAGTAATTGCAGTGACTTCAAGGTGGTTAGGTATGTACTTAGTCAAGAATATACGGTGCTTGAAATGGAAAGGGAAAAAGCTATTTTGACTGAAAACATTGTTTCTGAAAAGTGAAAGATATTTTTATTGTAGTGGTACGGTGGTCAGGTTGTTAATGATGGAATGGAATTTCAGAGTTGAATTCTTCACTAAAAACTTCTATTTCTTTCTTCATATAGGTGAAAGCAGTACAAATTAGAAAGCCGAATTCCAAGTTCTGTTGAAGTAACTTGGAAATGAATTTTTAGTTGTATTCCTTAACAAAATTCAGTAAGAGTACATGCTTAGCTTTCTCGACCTCTGAGAGTGCGCATCAAAGGCAGGCGTTCAAAATGGGAATATTCTGCTCTGATTATTTTGTCTCAGTGGGAAGGCAGGGGGAGTTTACCTAGATGTGTTTATCATCAAAGGCTTTGAAAGGGCTGAACTTTCTGCAGAAGTTTTTATACTGCTAATAAATGCCTTCTCAACTAAGTATTGGAATTCCTTCCAGACTTGATGGTAGTAGAGATTGAAAAATGGGAGTAAAACTTGGAAGTATGCAACTTCAGACACATCATTTTAAGTAATTAATTTAAAAAAGAAAAAACAAACCCCAAACCAAAAAAAAACACCTTACCAAAAGGCCCTGGCACTTGTTTGAAGCCTGCCTCTTCCCTCTGTAGTTGCCATAACGATTGAAACTAAAGGACAGCGAGGCAGGTAAACACAAAATAAGCAGTCTTGGAGGTGGTGACTGTCACCACTTCATCAGTGTATCATATGGTCCCTTCCCAGAGTTGTGTGTTCTCTTGAGGTGTTCCTTTGAGAAGAGATTTTAATTCACCATGCTAACAATGTGGCCTTTTAAGGCCAAGAAGATAACTGTTCACAGTTTGTCTTATCCAGATGATTATTCAGCTTAACGTAGAAAGATACTGATCTTTTTGGAATACAATATGAATTTGTGTGGCCTTATATCTGAAATACATTTTCACCTCATGCTTTAGATAAAAGAATTGTTTATTAATGATTATGGAGAAGTTTTCAAAATCCAGTTGCCTACCAAGGAAGAAAGAAGAATGTTTTTTGAGGACGTCATTATCAATCAAGCTGCTAAAAGTCCTGTGTCAAAAAGCAACGCAGGTGAGGGTATTCCACGTATAAATCTTTGCTAATTGTGAGTTAACAGCTAGAAAGTACATGCTTTGGTGGTAATCTTCTATCAATACTTTTCCATATGCTTGTATCTGAGTACTGTAAGTTGACTAAAAGTTTCTGATTAATAGAAGCTTGGCGGACGTTGGAAGTACTGCCTGCAGCACCGCCGCCTAAGCCTCCGCAGCTGACAGAGGAAGAAATAAAGCGGCTGGAGGAGCAGGAGGAGGATACTCTGCGTGAACTGCGGATTTTCTTAAGGGATGTGACTCACAGGCTTGCCGTTGACAGGCGTTTCAGAGCATTTACGAAGCCTGTTGACCCAGAGGAGGTAACTTAGTGTTCATCTGTAATACCATTTTAGCTGTCTGTGTTCATAATTTCTCTCTGTATTTCTCAGTGTTTGTGTGCTCTTTATAGGAAGGTTTATCTTTGCTTTTAGGACCGTACTATTCTGATTTTTCAAGAAGCAGGAAGTGAATTTTGCTTTTACTTTTGCTAACTCCTTGAGGCTCTCAAGCGTCAGTTATGTGAGCGTTCACGGAAAGCCCCGTATTCCTTCTAAAATGTCTTTAGCGCTTTAGAATATTTCAGGTGGAAGGGACCTACAACAATCCTCTAGCACAACTGCCAGTTAGACCAAAGGCCAGCACGGTTTGCTCATGAAAGGATTTGCTATGTAGGCACGTTGCAGCACTGAAAAGCACAGAGATCTCTGTCTTTATAATTATAAACAGTATCTATAGGAGTGTTTTAATAAAACCGAATGCTCTTTAATTGACTGTCAGTAGTTTCTGTGAGAACAGGAGTAGAGCAGCAGTTTTAAAACTAAATTTTAAGATTCCGTTCTCTGTGTTGTCTCAGGCTCCTCAGCATTAGATCAGCGGTGAGGGCTGTGTGGTTTCTTCTTCCTCCCATGCACTTCTTCGGTCTCTTTTTCTCATTCGATTTATTGAATAGGTCGAAGCCAGGGGCGTGTAGTTCAAAGTCAGCTCCAATTTTAGTCCAGCTTTGTGTTTCAGGCAAAGTGCTGTTCCCCTAAGCATCCACTGACTTGTCTTTCCCTTTACTTGTAGCTTCTGAGATAGGAATAGTCAAAACAAACACAGATGTCCTCATCTAAACTAGTCATTAGGGTCCTTTCATGGTCTGAGTGGAGAAATTGGCACCTCTGGGTCCAGTTACTTCATTCTAAAGTAGACACTCAGGACGGATACTTCAAAGGTGCAATGCCTGCAGCCTTTTTCTTGCTGCCAACAACAAAGAGAATCTCGGGTGACTTTACCAAGAAAGGTTTCTTTGCTGTGATTTTCTGAAGTGAAGTGAAATGAATCCGACTCTGGGTGCCTGTTCCCTTCTCTGCCCCACACGTACTTCTGACTTCCCTGCTTCTTTTCTTCCCTCCTCTTGTGTTCCATCTCTTGAAAGACACCTGAAAGAGCCCTTCTGTTTTCAAGAAACTGATTAATTTCCGCATCTTTGGGTGTGTCAGAAATATCTGGGGTTTTTAAGAAGTCCTTTACTTGACTTTATTAAAATAATTCATTTTAGTAGCTACTGTGTGAAATCTCTGAGCACCACGTATATTTCATTTGTAGGTACCCGATTATGAGTCAGTTATTAAACAGCCCATGGACCTTTCGACAGTTCTGTCTAAGATTGACTTGCACCAATACCAAACCGCAGGAGATTTTCTAAAAGACGTCGATCTAATCTGTAGCAATGCTCTAGAGTACAACCCAGATAAAGATCCTGGAGGTGAGGATATGTTTTTATCCCTAATCTGGAGAAAATTAAATGTGTCAGTTGATAAATGTCATCTGTGGCCAGTACACTTGGGATTAGATCATTTTAAACATACACAGAGAGCATTTCTTCCCAGGTTGTAAATATTGTAGCATTAAACTGCTTGGGCATGAAATTGGGATAGAAGTGTTGATAAGTAACTAATGCTTTTGCTTTAGTAATTAACTTTTATGTTGTTATGCTGAAAATACTCATTGGGATGACCTTTCAGCATCTACCTACGAAAAGAGCAAAATGTTTCTCAGTAATCAAAATAAAGGATTTCACTGGCTGGTAGAAAATACTCAGTTCCGACTGTAAAATTTCAGATCGTCTCATTAGGCACAAAGCTTGCACTTTGCGCGATACTGCATACGCCATAGTGAGGGAAGAAATGGATGAAGACTTTGAACAGCGCTGTAAAGAAATCAAAGAATCTCGTCTGAAAAGAGGTGTGTTTTTTGACCCTGAGGATTTTCAGACTTGTCTCGGTATGTTGTAACCAACAGTGCAAGACCCAGTTCTGTGCTATCTGTTCTTTCTTGCAAGGTTGCACCTCTTCCAAGTATGCTCCATCTTACTACCATGTCATGCCCAAGCAGAACTCTGTTCCTGAGTGTACGAAAACAGACCCGAAGTGTAAGGAAAAAATGAAGATAACGAAGATGCCAGCAGCGCCTGTAGATTCCAGTACACCCCGTGCTAACGGCAAGTTGCGTTTTTATTCAGACTTCCTTGGAGAAGGTGCGAAAGTCACTGAGAACTCCTCTGTTCTTGTGACACAACAGGTTTCTGTGATGCCTGGTTCTTCATGCCAGAGGCATTACATTTTGTTAATTTGCTTCAAAATGTGAGGTAAAGCCAGAGGCGATTCATTCAATATGGTTATGAAGTTCAAGTGCCGTGGTTGGTTTACGTTGTGAGACCCTGGCCTTGATGGCCTAGCTGACTTTTAAAGGCTTCTAAATTGCTACCATAGATGAGGATGCTGGATTTTGAAGGAAGAACTGTTTTCGTAATGTTATGGCTTACTTTTTCTGATATCTCTTTGTAGATAGGTCAAAAAGAAAACGCAGAATGAACAAAAGATCTGCAGGTATTGCAGCAAAGAAGAAGAATTTTCAGTTCAATAAAGAGAATAAAGTTCCGGAAGACCAAAATGAAGCCGAGAGTGATGAAGAGCCTTCAGAAAAACATGTTTCTAACACCGATTTCACTGAAGGTGGGTCCACACAGGATTCTTCTATGGAAGAAAATGAAAACGTCCTTCAAGAACGACAGAAAAATGGGAAGGAAAATAAATCTGGGGCTGAAAATGAGAGAAGGTTAGTTGTGTTTGTGGCGAAATCGGCTTCTGAAAAGAAGAGTGTCGTGCTTCCTGAACATTCCGAGCGAAGAAAGGAGAGTGAAATGCTGGATTGCCAAATAGCAGAAAGTTCTGCAGACGGAGATTCAAATGGTAGGCGAAAGGTCAAATAGGTCATTTGGCTCCTTTTTCTCCATGAGGAAGATTACACTGCTTGTTAGGTTTTAACCGCCTTCAGTCGCATTCTGGTATTGCTGTTGGCTCTCTCTAAAATCGGCACCCGGTGTTTCTTGCATAATGGTGCTGCCCCTCTCGTTATGCTAGCCAAACTCCTGTTTTTCTGCAGCTGCTGGTTTTTTGGATCTGAAGTTTGTTGGTCAGATGGTACCTAACTGAAAAACAATTGTTGGCTTTCTTTTGTTGTGTGAGTATCTTCCCACTAGCGAGCAGCGTAAGGTGAAAAGTTGTACTTCAAGCAGTGTGGGTCCAGAGTGCCCTGTGGAATAGGAGACTTATGTCCTCATGGTTGCAGTCGGGGTCCTGTGCAGCCTGCTGTAGGTGACCCTGCTTTGGCAGGGGGGTTGGACTAGATGACCCACAGAGGTCCCTTCCAACCCCGAACATTCTGTGATTCTGTGATAGGATGTGTTTCCTAACCGAAATGACCTTGGAGTTTTACCATGCAGTGCTGTAATGGCAACGTGACTGTCTTTTTTTTTTTTTTTCCTCCTGGTTTTGCCCTGCCTTTTTCTCTGGTGGGTTTTCTTCTGTGTCCGAGTTTGGAATTTTTATGGAGCAGTGACTTTTACCAGAAAGAAAGTACAAGTCGGGGATTTCTCAGTGGAAAAAAATGGTCTCTGATTGTCATTGCAGAGAGAGAGATTGCATTCCAGGTGCAGAATACTTCACTGATGCTGTATTGCAGAGAAACAAAAATCCCTGCCTAAGAACTGTGTGTCATTCCAGATTCATTGGTACACTGTGTGGCTCAGGCGAGACATTCTTGGATGGAAGAGCAACAGGTGATGGGTGTCGAGAAAGCAAAGGGAATTCTCACCCAGCCAGTGATTGTGGATTACTGTGAGCTCAAAGTAAGTATCATTTCAATTTTGTTAATACTGAAGAAGAACGTTCTCTTGCTACATGGACAGTTGTAAATGAAGTCAGTTGTTAACCAATGCCAGTTAAAACAATGTATGGGAAGGATATAGACCTTGTGCAATAAGTCAGCCTGTAGCGGCCTATGACTGTTGTGTTTCCACACCTGGTGTAGACTGCTGTTCTTGCTTTTGGAGAACTAAATTTGAGGAGACTGGGTTGTCTTCCGGATTGTTAATTTAGAAGGGCTTGTTGAATTTTAAAATAGCCCACTGACAACCTACTAGTCCTAGTACTGTTATTAATGTCGTGACAGTTTTTATGATGGATTTGGGGGTTTGGGTTGGGTTTTGTGTGTTTTCATTTATTGGGAACCTGAAAAGTACCTTTATTTCTAGCAGTGGTGACTTCAACTCTGAAGTTAGCAG